GTTGGTTTTGTAGAATTTGTAGGATAATTCACTACAAAAAAAAATTAAGGTTTTAGAGACCAAAATTTAGGGATAAAATTATTTTTTAAGGATCAAATAATTTTATTGCGAAAAGTGTCGTCATTATATTTTTAGCAACAAAAATTGGATATGAATTATTATCCTTTTGGGACCAAATTATTTTGTCTCAAAATATAAACCATTTTGAGACCAAATTTTTTGTCCCTAAAAATCTATTTATTAATGACATTTTCAAAATTTTGTCGCTAAAAGCCTTGCTTTTAACTTTTCAGGACGACCTTTTAGCGACTATCCTCATGATGGTGGAAATTGGTCCCTAAATGTCTTTTGCAACAAAATTTTTACTTTTAGAGACCAAAACATTTGATCTCTAAAACTCTTATATGTTGTAGTGATTTCTTCAAGATACAAAAATGGCAGAACAAACTTAAGTTGGATTGATCTATTTAATTAATCTTGTCACTAGAATTTTCATTTTTTTAATTTTTATTTTTAAGTCTAGTCTTTGAAGACTTTGCTTTGTGGCAACTTTCATGGAAAAGAAAGGAAAATAGTAGAATAGTGGATTAGAATTTTCTGAGTGAATTCTTCCATGTAATTGTCCCTTTTTGTCTATGCATTGTATTTCTATGAAATTACAAAGAAGAGAAGAAGAAAAAATAATTAAGGTTTGGTAGCAAGAAAAATTAATGATTTTATAAAAAAAAAAAAATTATGGTTTGTATTTGATTATTGTATCATATTTAGACTACCTTTTTTTAAAATGTTTTTAGCATTTTAGACTATTGGTATGATAAAAAAAATATTTTATAAAAAAATAAATTTATTTAAGCAAAAAAACATTTTACGACCGTCTCCACCCCACCACCAACACCGCTGCTCGCCTCCACTATCACTACGACCGCCTCCACCTTACTACCACTTCCACCTCCACCACCTAGAGCCTGCCTCCCCAAAATTGTACTTGCAACACAATCAAATATAGGAAAATATTTTCTCATAAATTATTTTTTGAGAAAAGAAAATTAGAAAATATTTTCTGCTGAAAGAAATGAGCGTTAAAAATGAATTTGGACCAAACTTTTTTAAAAAATAAAATTCCAAATATTTTATCTTATTACCTAAAAACATTATTGATTATTTAAACCATTTTGAATCTATATTTTCTAGTTTCAAAACCTTTCAAGTCTCAAGATCAATCATAAATGTAACTCTCAATTTGGAGGTTGTTGATCCCTAGTATGAAAACAATTATGTGCTTACCTACCAAACAGAATAGTTTTTAGTTTTTGCATCATGCTGTCATGATCTTGATGCATGTTAAATCTTCACTCAAAATTTTATCTAGTTTGAGAAGACATTAACATTTAACTTTAAATCAAACCTAAAAGAATAATAATATAACTCAAGTATGCTTGGTTATATTTTCCTTTTTTATTTTTATTTTTCAGAAAACATAAATCTAAAGTTCGTTGGTGAACTATTTATGGATTTTTTAGAAAACACGGAAAAATTATTTTTAAATTTTTGAAAAATAATTTTGTACAAAAATAAAAACAATGTGAAAGCAATAAGTGTCTTAAAAAAAATTAATTTTATTTCTGTAATACAGAAATTCAAAAAAAAAATTAAAAGTACCTACCACACATAAATGTGACAGTGCACTTTAGAAGTCTACTATTAAGGGGTAATCAAAATAATATATCAAATAAATATAACTTTAATTGATGAATTAGCTAAGAGAAACTTTCCTAGCAAATGGACTTCACCTATAAAACTCCATTGACTTGGCCTCATTTAAAATTTATTACAACTTGGGCAAAAAAATTAGAGTTTAGTGAGTAGTTTAAATTGGAAAAGAAATAAACTAATTTAATAGTACACGACTCTTATATGATATTTGCTGCTCTGACAAATGAAAAATCACAAAACACATCACTCTAGATAATTATCAAAACAGATGTGCTAGCTAGCATATGTAAATTTAAAGAGAAAAGGTGAGAAAATGAAAACGTAAGTTCAAATGAAAAAATGACACTATTGGCCTTGTTTTGACACAAGCTAAATTGGTCCCAAAAAAAAAATCATACAAAAAGTTAATCCATTCTTTTTATATTTTGCACGTCTTCTTATAATAAAAAAATAACTAAAAAGTTAATTTTTAAATGAATCTTTAATGAATAATAATTTAAGTAAAATGAAGAAGGGTCAATATACTTGAATGAGTAATGCTACGTAGCTCGAAACCAACTCCCCCGAATCCCCCTAATTTCAAAAACGACGTTGTTTTTTCAAAAAAAAAAATTTTGGTTGAATCAGAAACGAAGAAAGAAGAAGAAGAAGAAGAAGAAGGGAAGGGAGAAGAAGAAGAAGAAGAAGGGAAGGGAGAAGGGAGAATTGGACAGGAGAGGGCATAAACCAGGGGCGGAGGCGAGGCGGAGGCCGAGCTGCTACGACGATCGGCCGAGCTTCTCTCCCTCTCTCTCTCTCTTTGTTTCCCTCTCTCCTCTCCTCTCTCTTTCTCCCTCTCTATCTCTTGCCTTCACCCTCTTTTCCCTCTGTTTCCCTCTGTTTCCATTTTCGGGGGGGAGCTCATTCGAGCTCCCAAGCTTTATCCATACTTGAATGTACCATTTACTTTTGGAAATTTAAAAGAAAAGATATTTGCACTGAAAATTTCGTTCACCAAAATCATTAATTTGTCACATTTGTTCATACCAATGCTTGCATTTACAAATACGACCAAGTATAAAGTGATGGATAATTTCGATTATAATTATGTTGTTTATTTTTTCATGATGTTACCATATTTTGCAACCCATACCAACAACACTTGGTTCACATGATATCAATTTACCTAGTAGGTACATCCAAGATATTGATTTTTTTTCTTTTTCATTTCAATATCGATCATTTACTATTTTTTCTTCATTTGAATTAATATTTTTTAACTTATGAGAGCATATATATATAAACAAATAAATAAATAAATAAATTCACACAACATATGATTATAAGAGTTTGTTTGGGAAGTATTTTTTTTAGTAATTTTTTTAACTTTTAGCTAAATATAAGGGAAAAAAATTATTCTTAAAAAATGGAATGAATCTTTAACTTTTTCTATTGTCTTTTTGACTATTTTATTTTTTAATTTTTTTAGTGACTTAAATTAGACAAGTTGGGTTGACTTTTTAACTTTTCGATTATTTTAGTCACAACTAAAAAGTTCGTTTGGGTTAATTTTTTTTACTTTTTGACTTTTGTAAGAGAAAAAGTTAATGATTATGATTTGAATATAATATTTTGTTGTATTGATTTTTTAGTATGTTTTATCTTTTTATAATTAATTTATCTAAAAAATTAAAAAAAGCCCACATCCAAACGACAGCTTAATTTAGTCACTTCCCATATAAAGACTGTAAATATGAAAAAAATCAAATTTTCAAATATCAAGAGTACTTGGGATATATCATGGATAATACATAAATAAATAAGATTTGATTAACAAAGGTCTTACGATTAATTAATAATAAAATTTATAAAATAAATTTAAAATTGACATGAATTGAACTTTAGACATTATTCAAACTTCACCAACTATTTTCCATGTCAAGACTTTGACGAGTAAGAATCCCCACGCTGCATGACAACCATGACCCCACATTCACCCAATTGTTAGATCATCCAACCGTCCAATGATAATAATCAACAGTCCAGATTGCTATTTCACCAACCCCCATTTCGGCCTCTCCAAGCACCCCCCCTCTGCCCAACTCCCCTTATGCCCACCTACCAAGACTCCGTCTCCCTACCACAAATCATTTACAAATCAATTTTTTATATTCATCCTTAAGTAACGGTTAGGCCTTATTTGAAAAGTGACTTATAAATTAATTTATTAATTTTATTGACTTACTCAAGTCATATTATTTCTTTATTTTTTAAGTATTTTTTTTTAAAAAAAATATCAAAAATAGTTGATTTTTTTTTAAAAAAAAAATATGTAAAAAAATAAAGACGTGATATGACTTAAAAAAAATTAAAAAATCAAAAAAACTGCTTTTAACCTCTTTGCCAAAGGCGTAACATGTCTATAACAAAACAATTTATAAATTAATTTTTCATATATAGAATGGTGTGATAGTATTATTATTATTATTTTATTTTTTTTTGTAATTTTGAACCATAATGATGAGTATCTTGTCTTTTAAAAAAGGATAATTTTATATAGAATTCATTTTGTGATCATTTTATTTCTATTTAAAATACTCATTATTGTATTTCATAATTATAAATATGTTATTGTCATGAGTAATGCTAAAAACTCCCAAAATGTTATTAAATTTTTTACCAAATGTCTTACATAGGTGTGGAATCCACACAATGTGAATCTCATGTTTATGTGAGATATTTGATAAAACTTTGGATAAAATTTTTGAGATCTCTAATATTTTTGTATTGTCATATCATTCTAGATATATTTTATATATTTAAATTTTGTTTGTAAATCATTTTTTTTAAAAAGAAAAATGTTATGCAGACAAATAAACAAAAAACTTGTATTGTGACTAAATTGTGAGACTATCATTTCTAAGAGTAATGGTAGAGATTCTAAAAATTTTATTAAATATCTCACATACGTGTAGGATCCACATGAAATCCACATGATGTGAGTTCCACATCCATATAAGATATTTGATAGAAATTTTACATTTTTTCATTTCTAAACAAAGAATCTATTCAAATGACTGTAAATTACAAAAATGCTACTTTTATATTATTTTTGTGACAAATCCTATATGAATTTGTATAAGAATAACTTTTCTTTAAAAAAAAATAATAAAATAATTACATCATTATGCATAAATTTTAATATCAATTTTTATTTTATTTTATTTGTGTTGGCATCTTCCTTCTCCTTACACACATAACAACTACACACTCAACCACACCACATCTATATAAACCACATGCCTCTCCTACCACAACCTCAGGAAAGCTCAAGCCAACCTAGCATTTCCTCTCTCTCTCTCTCTCTCTCTCTCTCTCAAGAATTAGTTCTTGTTTGCTCCAAACAATACTTCCTTTCAATAATTCACTATAAACCCATTTTCCATTCCCCTTCTCTACCCAACCTCTTTTCTAAGTTTTTCATAAAAACCAACCACCATGGAGAACAACAAACACCATCAAAACGGCGTCGCTTCACCCGGTTTCTGCCTACAAGACCCCTTGAACTGGGGGGCAGCGGCGGAGTCACTGAAGGGCAGCCATTTGGACGAAGTGAAGCGGATGGTGGCGGAGTTCCGGAAGCCGGTGGTTAGGCTCGGCGGCGAGACCTTGACGATATCTCAGGTGGCGGCGATCGCCGCCCGTGGCGGTGATGTGACAGTGGAGCTTTCGGAGACGGCGAGGGAAGGAGTGAAGGCTAGCAGTGATTGGGTTATGGAGAGCATGAACAAAGGGACTGATAGTTATGGTGTTACTACTGGTTTTGGTGCTACTTCTCATAGGAGGACTAAACAAGGAGGTGCTCTTCAAAAGGAGCTTATTAGGTAACATAACTAACCTCTCTCAATTTACAGTTATTTTACAGAATTATATACAATACAACTCTCTCGAACTTGTCCATGCGGGACTTAAAAAAAAATGAGACACACTTCATTCCATAAATTTCTCTTGGTCCAAAATAATAAAAGTCACAATTTTAAATAAGTCAACATGACATGAGATTCACTATTTTGAATCTATTGTTATTTATAATATTCGTAATTAATTTCTATATACAGATTTTTTTCCCCCTTAACTTATAACAGCAAAATATAATTAAATGTCATTTAAATGAATAATTAATTTAAAAATGATGTCTTAATACATTTATGTTTTTCTATATATAAATTTTATATATCTTTTGATATATCTTTTCTTTTAGTAAATGATTTGTGAAACTTTATTTTAAAATATATTGTTAAAATTTCAAAATTCTTGTATTTTTTTCTTCAAGTTTTTGATACATAATTTTACACAAGTATTACATAAAGGTGTTATTTTTATAATTGAAACTTATCTTGATAATCACATTATTCTATAGTTCGATTTAAAATAAAAACAAAAATAAAAATAAAATTGTGTCATTGATTTATCATATACTTTTTGGAGCACTTTTCAAAGCATTCTGACCGCCAAAATTTATTTTTTGAACACACAAGACTCAAATTGTCAAATAATTTGACATCTATGATCTTAACAATGAATCTCCATTTTCTTACAAAATATTAAGTTGCATTATAAAATAAAATAAAATAAATTGCTAAGTACATGACTCCAAGATCACAGATTAGAACACTAACAAAAATATCAATAAAAGTCCAATAAAAAAAATTATTAACTAAGACATAAGATTCGTATGTGAGTTCGATGCGAAATCTACTTAATATTATGTCGGATTGTATGTTTATTAATACGTTTGTTAATGTCTTAAGCAATTATTAGTGTAGCGAACTTATTGGGGTATATTATCGGCGTCCATTATTTATTTGTCACTTAGTAAATCATTTTTTCTTTCAATATTTTTTATATTATAAATTCAAGATCTAAACATAAGCCTATTGAATTGGCTAAATTAATTGGTTTTCAAACACACTTTTCAATTTTAGATTTGGGTTTACAACAATCTATTAAAAAACTATTTCTTTTGCTTAAGAGAATGGGATGACGGTACACCATTCAAATTGGTTGGTAGCACCATGTCAATAATTAATAAATCATCAAAGCATAGGCATTGAGATCTGGCTTTGATTTGAGTTCTTGTCACCTAGATAAAATTAATGAAGTCTAGTAGATCTTATAGTTGTATCACTCAAGTTTCCCCATATTTATCATATCTTTTGATTTTATGACAAATTTAGTTCTCTATGCTAACCTTATGTTGATTTTTTTTATTTTTTTAAATGACAGGTTCTTAAATGCTGGAATATTTGGCAATGGAGTAGAGTCTGGCCACACATTACCACATTCAGCAACAAGAGCCGCCATGCTCGTAAGGATCAACACCCTCCTCCAAGGCTACTCCGGCATTAGATTTGAAATTCTAGAAGCCATTACCAAATTTCTCAACAAGGACATCACTCCATGCCTCCCGTTGCGCGGCACGATAACCGCCTCTGGTGACCTCGTCCCCTTATCTTACATTGCTGGGCTTCTGACCGGTCGTCCCAATTCCAAGGCAGTCGGACCCACCGGAGAAACTCTCCGCCCTGATGAAGCCTTCTGCCTGGCCGGGGTCGAGGGAGGGTTTTTCGAGTTACAACCAAAAGAAGGCCTTGCACTTGTCAATGGCACAGCTGTCGGTTCTGGTCTCGCTTCTATGGTTCTTTTTGAGGCTAACGTACTCGCCGTGTTGTCAGAAGTTTTGTCAGCGATTTTCGCCGAAGTCATGCAAGGAAAACCTGAATTCACTGACCATTTGACACACAAATTGAAGCACCATCCAGGCCAAATTGAAGCTGCAGCCATTATGGAACACATTTTGGATGGTTCTTCTTATGTCAAGGCAGCTCAAAAACTACATGAAATGGACCCATTGCAAAAACCAAAACAGGACAGGTATGCCCTTAGAACATCACCACAATGGCTAGGACCACTTATTGAAGTAATCCGATCATCGACAAAGTCGATTGAAAGAGAGATCAACTCTGTCAATGACAACCCCTTAATCGATGTTTCGCGGAACAAGGCCTTACATGGTGGCAATTTCCAAGGTACCCCAATTGGAGTGTCCATGGACAATACCCGTTTGGCTGTAGCAGCGATAGGAAAGCTCATGTTTGCCCAATTTTCTGAGCTTGTCAATGACTTGTACAACAATGGGTTGCCATCGAATCTTACAGGAGGGCGCAATCCGAGCTTGGATTATGGTTTCAAGGGAGCAGAGATAGCCATGGCCTCGTATTGCTCAGAACTCCAGTTCCTTGCCAATCCTGTAACCAATCATGTCCAAAGCGCCGAGCAACATAACCAAGATGTGAACTCCTTAGGCCTAATCTCTTCAAGAAAAACCGCTGAAGCTATTGATATCTTGAAGCTCATGTCCTCTACATATCTAGTGGCACTATGTCAAGCCATAGATTTGAGGCATTTGGAGGAGAATTTGAGGAACACTGTCAAGAACAGTGTTAGCCAAGTCGCCAAACGCACTCTAACGATGGGTGTTAATGGGGAACTTCACCCTTCAAGATTTTGTGAAAAGGAATTGCTTCGAGTGGTGGATCGCGAACACGTGTTTGCGTACATTGACGATCCCTGCAGCGCAACCTACCCCTTGATGCAAAAATTGAGACAAGTCCTTGTTGAGCACGCCTTGAAAAATGGCGACGCTGAGAAGAATGTGAGCACTTCGATCTTCCAAAAGATCAGAGCGTTTGAGGAGGAACTTATGGCATTGTTGCCTAAAGAGGTGGAGAGTGCACGAAGAGGGCGGTTTGAGAGTGGGAATCCGGGAATTCCAAACCGGATTAAGGAGTGCCGGTCCTATCCACTATACAAGTTTGTGAGGGAGGAATTGGGAACTGGTTTTCTGACCGGAGAGAAGGCGTTGTCGCCTGGAGAGGAGTTTGACAAGGTCTTCACAGCAATGTGTGAGGGACAAGTGATTGATCCATTGTTGGATTGTCTCAAGAGTTGGAATGGCGCTCCTCTTCCAATCTGTTAAAGCAATGTACTACATTGGATTTTCTATTTTTATTTTTTGGTTTTTGTAGCTTGTCTTAAATTTTATTTTATGATCACGTAGTTCAATTCAATGGGATTGTATTGATTATGATGTAAAACTCTGTTATGTCTATGTTTCTACCTTTATACAACAATCAATGGAATGTCAAAGTTGTTGGTGACTAGATAGCTTAGTGTTTTCAATTTAAAATTTCAATTCACTGTGAAATGTTTGGGATTTTGAACTAGAAGTAGGGTTATGAGATCCATTTCAACATTATTGCCTTATGAAGGAATTACATGCATTTTTGTACAATATATAGTCATTTGAAAACCAATCATTGAATTATTCTTGGAAATAATTTTTCATGGACTACATTATTTCATATAGCTTCATAGATCCTTTAAAATACTTTGAACCCTAGTTTGCTTTCTTTGTGGGATCTAGCTTATGGTAAGTTGTTGGCAAAATGGCACCCCATTCTTACTTCATCGTTCCACTTTTCTTTCTCAACTCTATCTAGGAATTGTTGTCAAGGGTATCTTCTCGGCATTGGATTTTTTTTTAAACCCCTTGTCTTAAATTTTCTTCTTGTTCAATGGGATTATCTTTATTGTGAAGTGAATTTCTGTTATATCAATATTTGTCCCTTCTGTATCAATATTCAGATGTGAAACAAATAGGGAAATTTAGTTATAAACCCCCTTTACCTTCATTTCATTGTTAAAAGGATTAAGAAAAAAATTATACTTTCTAAACCCCCTCATAATTATAAAGTCTTGCATAAAGGACAAAATTTATTATTTAAATATTTTATCAGACTATTATACCTCTTAATTAGATCTTCTTACCTTCTCCGTCTCTCTCCTTATCCGCTCTACCAAGATCAGCGACAGACATCACAGATTTCACGCGCCGGTAGTAGTGGTGGATCTAGATCTGGAACCAACAGATTTAGATCTCACAGTTGAGCAGAAGCAACGGCAGATCTAGATTTTCGATTCAGCAGCAAAGGCAACGTTGAAGACGACGACCTCGTTGACAGCAGCTTCAATCGCCGTCGGTTTCTCGAGGTTATGCTATTGTGTACGGCGGTGTCGACGTGAAGAATGCTTCGGTGGAGGTGAAGCCGGAGTTTGAATACGGTTACGATGCTAATGTGGTGAAAGGTTCGGAGTTTGATGTGGTGAAACAGTGAAGAAAACGACAACTGAACTTGTGATGAAAGTTCTATCCCAATCCGCAGCACAGAGTCCGCGTAGTCTCTGGATCTCTCTATGGTTGTAAGAAGAACAAGAAAATATATGTATATATATATTTGTGTGTATGAGTGTTGTTGAACACATGTATTCTTTTCATTGAGATTTGTAATTGTTGATCGAGTTTTAGAAGTTTTTCTTCTTAATTAGATATATTGATTTGTTGATTAAATTTTTTTGTTTGTTTGTTTGTTTGTTTGTTTTTTTTATTATTTATTTTTGTTGTTTTTTTTATCTAACTTCATTTGATAGAATCAGAGTAAAATTTTACTCTGGTTCTATTGCTCTGTTTTTTTGTTTTAGATAATGAGAGTAAAATTTTACTCTGATTCTATTGCTCTGTTTTTTGTTTGAGAGAATTAGAGTAAAATTTTACTCTAATGTTTGAATTACAGTAAAATTTTGCTGTCAAGAGGTGATCATTGTCAAACACTTCAGCCGCCACAAATACTGCCTTCGCTTTTTTACTTTTGTGCAAAGTAACATTTTACTTGTAATTTTACACAGTGAAGATGGCTTAATAGGAGAGCTGATAGATATGAGAGTAATATAGTAAAAGAAATAAGTTTTAAAATATTAAGGGGTTTTGAAAGTACTTATATAATTTTTGTCCTTTTAAAAAATAAACTAGATAGTGAAGGGGGCTATCACCAAATCCCCCAAACAAATATTGCTATCAGGATCTTACGAGTCACAAATATATTATGGTTTCTACCGCAAATCTACAATACTCACTAAATGATAATATTACCATTTATATTAGAAATTCTACTCAAGACTTGTATGATTGAATTTTATATAGATTTTTTGATAATTTTTTTAAGGCTCTAACATTGCTCTAAAAATTATTTACCATCTTATTATTGTTACACTATATTCATATCCTTATATCATTATGAATGCAATGATAATATAACCAAACCAAACAAAACCTTAAGTCCCATTAAATGGGGTCGGTTACATAAATCCTTCTTCTCTACGTCGCCCTATCAAAGGTCATTTCATTAGTCAAATTAAGTAAATCCACATATCTATTTACGACGCTACCCAACGTTAATCTAGGCCTATCATGTCCCCTAACACTTCCATCTACCGTTACAATATCGCATCTCTTCACTACTGTCTCTGTTGGTCTCCGTTGAATATAACCAAACTATCTCAATTGATTCTCTCTCAACTTATCTTCTATCGGTGCTACGCATACCCATTCTCGAATATATTCATTCATAATTCTGACTTGTCTAGTCTTGCCACACATTTACCTTAGCATCCTTATCTCAACTACACTCTTCTTATCTACATGTTGATTCTTAGTTGCCCAACACTTCGTCCCATACAACATCGCTGGTTTAATAACCGTTCTATAAAACTTACCTTTTAATCTAATAAATATTTGTTTATCACACAATACCTAGACATACTTCTCTAATTACACCATCTCGCCCTAATCCTAAGAGCCACATAATTTATTGGATGCAGTAATTGATCTCTCACCATGCCCCTAATGCCAGTGTGCTCGTTCCAACATCTTTGTGCGATCTAGCTTATAGAGTTTGACTTCCTTTCTTATTTTAATTGGGACTAAAAAAATAATAAAAAATAAGAGCAAAGATTAAAAATTTTAATTTTAAAACTCTAAAAAAAATTGTAATGATGTAATAAAAAATAGAATTTACATATAATGTGATGGGTGTGCTTATGGTTTTGTTTTTGTTTTGTTTTTGTTTTTTTCATCTTATCACATCACCATAGTTCTATCTTTAAAATTTTAAAATTAGAATTTTTTATCATTATTGAAAAAATAAAATAAAATAAATAAATTAATAAAATAAATATCATATCCAAATAAATGTTTGAATTTTTTTTTACAAAAATTTAAAAAAAAATTATCAAATAAACTTTTTAATCTCAAATTAAAAAAGTTTCAATTTTAAAAAGTCAATTAAATTTTTTTTTATCAAATGACACTATTGTGTATATGAAAAAAAAATTAAATTTTAAAAATTAAAATAATTTGTAAAAACTAAAGTATTTAAGAGAAATTAAGAAGTAACAAATTAAATAATTTTTCTAAGACAACTTCAACTTTTAGTTAGAAAATAATTTGTTTTAATTATTTATTTTTATATTACTAGTAATATTGCCACTGTCACTATTCAAGAATAATTTTTGTTCTCTCTCTCTAATAGGGTATATATTTCCTTTTGGTTCTCTCTCACTCTCTCTCTCTCTTTCTGGTTTGTTTCAGCAAAATCGTTCATGGGTTCGCAAATCATGAGACGCCTTCTACGAAGCCATGCGAGCGAGTTCTTCTCACCACAATCCGCTGCAAACCCTAGTTCTTCAGCTAGGGTTTTCTCATTCTTTGATCGGACCCTCTTCTCTTCTTCTTCGTTCTGCAACAAAAACACAGAAGAAAAAAAAAAAAAATCAATACCAAAACGACGTCATTTTGGTGTCGAGTCACACTCGAGCCACCAATTTGGAGTTATGTAGCACTACCATTGTTTTAATTATTTATTTTTATATTACTAGTAATATTGCCACTGTCAAGAATAATTTTTGTTCTCTCTCTAAAAGGGTATATATTTCCTTTTGGTTCTCTCTCTCTCTCTCTCTTTCTGGTTTGTTTCAGCAAATCGTTCATGGGTTCGCAAATCATGAGACGCCTTCTACGACGCCATGCGAGCGAGTTCTTCTCACCACAATCCGCTGCAAACCCTAGTTCTTCAGCTAGGGTTTTCTCATTCTTTGATCGGACCCTCTTCTCCTCCGCTGCTCCGACCCCCAATCTGATCCGAGCCACTCTCTTCCCCGGTGATGGAATTGGTCCCGAGATCGCCGAGTCTGTCAAAGAGGTCCTCTCTTTCTCTCTCGATCTCCCTAATATACACACATATATATGTTATACACCTATATGTTTGTGTTGTATTTGGCTTTTTTAGAATATTGATTCTGTTTTTTTCGATTTGAATTTTTGGAATTTTGCTCTTTAATGTTGTTTATTTTCTGTCATTTTTTACTGGGTATTTTGTTTCTTTCCTAAATATTCAAAATTGGGCACTAAATTTGTATGATGCTGTTTGCAATTTATGTGACAAATAGTAATTATTCTGTTTGCTCGCTGAGAAAACAGGGGAAAAGATGGGAAATTTATATATATATATATATATATATATATATTTTGTTTGGTTCTCCTAATCAAATGTCAGAACCAATTAGAGTTGCTAGTTGAATCTTTTTTGTCATTTCACTCTGTTAAGGTTTATATGCAGTCAAATTAAAAAAATTCATATCCTTTTTATTACAACATATTTGTTAATTTAGATCTTCCCTATCCTAACATTTTCATTAAACTATTAACTTATTTTCATTTGGTTTCATTCGGTGCTATCATTTTATGATTGTATTTATTTCTAATTCTTTCTTTCTAATCTTATCACATATCCATATTAGCATCTTGATCTCAGCTACACTTGTTTTTCTAATTACCTAACATTTTGTCTTCCTTGGCTATATACCCATATCTAGGGAAATTGTGTACCATATGTCCTAGTTATGCCTTTTGTGGTCTTTAGTTATGACCTATTGTGGTTTTAGTTATGACTTAGTTATACACATTGTTGTGTTAGTTATAACCCACTATGATATTGGTTATGACATTATTTTGGTTATGATTCAGAAGATCGTTGGTTATGACTCATTTGTTTTTTAGTTACACTCAAAATGATCTAGTTATGACGTTTGTCATAATGAACCCCACAAATGTCATAACTTGCATATGTTTGAGGGTGTGTACCATAGCATTACCCATATAGCTATTCTATATTATTTTTCTTTCAATTTAATTGGTATTTATCGATTGTATAACATTCCAAAAGTACTAACTTAGCTGTTCATTGTCCTTAACTATTATTACGGGATGCCCATTGGAGTATTAGTGGTGATACTTTGTTGATTGTGTCTCTTAGCAGTGGCAAATGTAATTATTTACACTAATGCAGGTGTTTAAATCAGCTGAAGTGCCAATTGAATGGGAGGAACACTATGTTGGGCAGGAAATTGATCCTAGAACCCAAAGTTTTCTTACATGGGAAAGTTTAGAATCAGTGCGGAAAAATAAGGTTGGCTTAAAAGGGCCAATGGCCACACCAATTGGAAAGGGTCATAGATCATTGAACCTTACTTTAAGGAAAGAGCTTAATTTGTATGCTAATGTTAGACCTTGCTACAGTCTCCCTGGCTACAAGACTCGCTATGATGATGTAGATCTCATCACCATCCGTGAGAACACAGAAGGAGAGTATAGTGGCCTTGAACATCAAGTAAGTTTATTCGACAATATTCAAATGCAGGCAGAAAAATATCCATCTCATGTTTGATCTGATCGAGTTTTTTTTTTTTTTTTTTTTTTTTTTTTTTGGTGTTAGGTGGTGAGGGGTGTGGTTGAAAGTTTGAAGATCATTACTCGTCAAGCAAGTCTGAGGGTGGCTGAATATGCCTTTCACTATGCTAAGGCCCATGGTAGAGAGAGAGTGTCTGCAATCCACAAAGCCAACATCATGCAGAAAACTGACGGTCTCTTTCTTAAGGTCCGATTGTTGGACATATTTAAACTGTTTGACAATACGATAATTTATGTATATGGCACCATATTGAGTTTGATTTGTTTTTGTGCAGTGTTGTCGCGAGGTTGCCGAGAAGTATCCTGACATAACATATGAGGAAGTTGTTATTGACAACTGCTGTATGATGGTATAAACAATTCCCTCATCATAATAGTTTGTGCTAGCTAAATTACAATTCCCTATTGGTACAAGTATCTGCTGCATGCTTGTAAATTGCAATATTATCATAAGCAAAATGATATCATTGAAAAGGCATGCCATATTTTTTCCTCCTGAAAACAACTTTATGCCAGTTAAATGGATTAAAATGTTCATAAAATAAAAATGAAAAGTTTGAGAATGACAGTAACTAGTTTACCTTTCTTTATACAGCTTGTGAAAAATCCAGCTCTTTTTGACGTTCTAGTGATGCCTAATCTGTATGGTGACATTATCAGTGACCTTTGTGCTGGGTTGATTGGAGGCTTGGGCTTAACACCAAGGTGTCTTTCTTTTGTTATCTGTTACTGGTTAAGTAGTTATATACATTTGTGTTTTATACTTCTCAAAAGTACATACACGTGTACACATTCATCTTCAGTGTGCAATACAAATACATATCATCTCACTTCATTTGACGTCCTGTGCAGCTGCAATATTGGTGAGGGAGGCATTGCTCTTGCTGAGGCTGTGCATGGTTCTGCACCTGATATTGCTGGAAAGGTCAGTGATCACAGCTATATTGTTTTATATGCCTTTTGCATTAGGTGATTTTCCATTGTGTGTCATTATTGACAACTTCTATGGGTGATTGGGTTTGCTTTTTTATGGCTTTTAAAAAAGCAAATGTGTTTGGTAAGTTGCTAAAAAAAAAATTAGTGAAAAAGTTGACGTGACATTTGAGTTTTTTATTTGATGACAAACAGCTTAATGCTTTTTGGCTTTTTTAGCTAGTCCCCAAACACCCTTCAGCTGATGCAAGTTGTTTCACTTGAAACTTCCCACTTCTCCAAGCTTTTTGTTAAGTCATCTATGTTGAGTGCAGTTGTTAAGCTATTCCATATGACGATCTGACTTTAGGATCAGGGTGAAAGTAATGGAATCATATTCCTTTTTTCACAGGACCAAGTCTCCTTTATTGTTTAATTCGTCCTGGTGTGCCATAAAATCATAATGGCCGGATTATATCAAAAAAGTTTGAATGTACTACCACTATTGTTGTAAGATTAAATAATTCATTTACTAGTAAGGTGATGCATTCATTTGGTTGGAGGGAAATACTAGGAACATTGGTAAGTTCAGTCCTTGGGATCATCCGTGGGAGAGAACATGCTTTATTGCTTCTCTTTGGACATTTGAAGGACTGTCAACTGTCATTATTGGTTTCTAGTCTCTCTTGAGAGAGGTATAGAGAAATCCTTCATATACTTTGAAGCCTCCTTTTAGAGGTAGCGCACTAAATTATATTTTCTTTTGTATAATAGTTGCAAATTGGGGGAATGATAAGAGATTACTTGGGAATGTGGTAGTTTCTTATGTGGTAGTTAGTTTCTTATTTGAAACTGATAGGTAAGCTGATAGTGCTGATTGATCCCTTAGGATGCCTCCAAGCTCACATTACTGAGATTGTTGACCATTGCTGCCCTTTTCAACATTTACTGATCCAAAAGAATTTTCTTGGATGATTATAGAGGATTCTTCTATTATGTTTGAGTTGTTGCTCGTTTTTGTTATGTTATTTTGGTTTGTTGTTTTGAGGGACTCCTTGTCACTCTTTCATTAAACTCTTCTTTCTTTGGTGCTGTTTCATCTTATAGAAGTCAATTTTTTAGTTAGTGATTTTTGTTGTGGTTCAATCTTGTGTAGAATCTGGCAAACCCAACAGCTCTAATGTTGAGTGCTGTAACGATGCTTCGCCATCTGGAGTTGCATGATAAAGCTGATCGGATCCAGAGTGCTATCCTTGCCACAATTGCTGAAGGGAAGTACCGAACTGCTGACCTGGGTGGCTCTTCAACAACCACTGATTTTACTAAGGCAATTATTGATCATCTCTGAAGAATGCTTCTTCATATTTGATTCTGGCAAAGTTCTCGACAACAAATTGCTCCTTTTTTGATATTCTTTTCAAAGCAGTGTTTTCATATACTCTATAGTAGTGATTTTACCCTGATTTTTTAGAAGTTAGCCAATTATATCTTGGCGTGAAGACGCTCACCAGAATTTGTCGATAGAATTAACCATGGCCTCGCTGTTCTTTTGCAAAACATCTGAAAGTAGAGAGAGATAACAGAAGCACAACTGTATAAAGTACCTCTCGTGGTTCGTTCTATTTATTATCTTCGCATGGATTGAATAAAAGCATCACAATTTTCTCTTATTCGTCCTCTTATCCGTCACGGCTAGGGTATGACTCTTCATTTACTGTGGTTTACCTCTTTAACTTTGATACAATCATCATTTTACTTTTCATTGAGAAGTATTATATAAGTTTTGAATTCACAAAACCTGTTTTCAGCACATTTTCACAGGGATGGAGTTCCTACATTTTGCAGAGTTAGGGTTTACATATTAGTTTGCTTGAAAGGTTTTTTGGCACGATTGCATAAGACAAAGATGCAAAGTGGATGTTTGTGGCAAACGGATCTTTTGCTTTGATGGTTATCTTAATTTTAATTGGCATGGTGCAAATAAATGAAATGATCTGTGTTTCTAAGAATATGTAGGCACTTTTTCGAGCTTGTATTGGGAAATATTTGTTTCCTGGCTTTTGCATTGACAAAAATATAACACAGCCCCAACGTTTAGTTTCGAGTCTTCAGAGAATTTAAATACACCAGCAATTGTAAGGAATTTACCCAATCATTAGATACAATTTAACATTAAAATTAATCTGTGATCTGCATTAATGTTGCGAAAATTCATCCATTAGCTCATTAGGCCTAAGACATGCATTAGGCATTTTAAAAATTGGTTTCTTGCATAAGCTAGTTGATCCAAAAAGAGCATTCTAAAACAAGAACAGTCTAATTTTGATTCTATAAAAACGCCTGCGTATGGAAAGCAAAAGCAAAAGCAAAAGCAATACACCATAATTTGTGAGCAAAACATATATTGCAATACACTAGGTAAAATCAGCAAAAAAATAAAATAAAAAACAAAAAAGACTGCATAATGTTTCCTATGCCCATGGCATTGGCAGCACCATTTTGTTGTGTTTTTTTTTTTATCTTTTTTTTGTAATGACTAATTAAAGATGATGCCTCCACCATAGTTCTTCTATTTTCCTGTAGCACTAATGTAATTAAACTATTTTTGTACTTCCAAATGTCCCAAACACCTTGCCGTCTGTACGAAAACCATCCTAAAATATCACTCTTTAGCCTGACAAGTCATCAGCAGAGAAGCAAAACTAACTCTGATGGCATCTTTAAGTTGAATTCAACTTAACCGGAGTTAAGGACTGGCTTCGAAGCTCTGAAGCAGGCAAGTTGATAATGCTGATGGGCAGCCTCGGGCCAGACAAAGAACCCCTGATAACAGGTAAGCTGGTATTGTTGCCAGTTACTTGAGTCGGTCGGCAAGACGCTACTGATGAATTACCGGGTGATTGCTGACTTGGCATCATCCCATTAGAAAGGTGCGGAAGGTAGGGCGGTGACACTTCTGGCGAAGGTCTGAAGCGTTGTAGGTGTGGGGCAGGGGCTCGAAATTCACAAGCAGCAGCAATGTTCCCCTTGCAATAGATCACGGAGTTGAAAGTGGGTCCACATGGACTAGGCAAGTGAACTGCTGAAGAATGGTCCGGTCGCATCACAGGTAGAGCAGTGGTTGACAGGCTTGCCAAAGATTGTTCAATTCTCGGGGCAGTCCTTGGGGTATTTTGCTGAACTCCTGATGAATGGCTCACCTGCAAGCTTGCCAAAGATTGTTCAGTTCCCACATGTAAAAATAGATGTATTATTCAATAGATCACGGAGTTGAAAGTGGGTCCACATGGACTAGGCAAGTGAACTGCTGAAGAATGGTCCGGTCGCATCACAGGTAGAGCAGTGGTTGACAGGCTTGCCAAAGATTGTTCAATTCTCGGGGCAGTCCTTGGGGTAGTTTGCTGAACTCCTGATGAATGGCTCACCTGCAAGCTTGCCAAAGATTGTTCAGTTCCCATGGCAGTTGTTGCAGTAGTTTGGTGACTTGCTGATGCATGACTTGCCATCTGCACTATCGGGGGGAAACAGGTGAAACCAGTGTTATCAGAAAATGCTAATACCCTAACAAATTACGTTTTGGAACACACACTCTCAAACATGAATTACTTTCGCAATCTCAAAAGTTTTTTCTAATATATTTCCTTAAATTTTCCTTAAAAGAGAAAAAAAAAATCAAATACAATGAAATAAATCTAAGGTGAATAAAGTTTTGATATGAAAAAAGGTTAAAAGAGGGTCATAACGCTCATCCAAATATGTTGCTACTGGAATAATTTGAGAAATAATAATAAATAAATAAAAAACGCCAACATTTTATTGAGTGTCCAATTGTTTAAAAAATACTTTAGATTAGAAGTACATACCGAAATTTTTAGTGGAAACTATACTCATTTTACCACAATTTAGAGCATGTGGCGTACCTTGTTCATGTTACCCTTAACATAGGGTGAAACAGTAATTGGCAAGGCTGATGAAGATTGTTCAGATCCTGTGGTAGTCATTGCAGTGGTTTGCTGAATTTCTGATGCATGATTCATGGTCTGAACCTGTGGGGAAACAGGTGGAATATTGTTCAGCAGGTCCTGGGGTCATCCTTGCAGCAGTTTGCTGAAACAGCATGGTTCACCAATTGCGCAGGTGGGATAGTAGGAGCACCAGTCATGGGAAGGTTAGTCGTAGATTGTTCCGGACCCAGAGTAGTCCTTCCAGCAGTTTGATGAACTTCTGATGAATGCGTCTCGACTTGAATTGGTGGGGACACAGGTGGACTGGTCATTGGCAGACTTGCTGACGATTGTTTGAGTCTTGACTTACTCCTTGAAGCAGTTTGCTGATGATATAGCTGAGATATTTCATTCATGAATCCAGGTATAGTCACTGCAAGGACATATATTGAAAAGTAGTTGGTGTTAGAAAGGAAAGTTGGTTCTGTAAAGAGATTTAAGAGCTCATGCTCTAAACAATGCCCAACTATGAAAAATGTCATCATATTCTCCCTCAAATTGAGTCCACTGATCTGCCTAAATGACAAGCATGCATGGAAATGCTCATGCATCTTGTCTGGCTATCTCTAAATAAGCAGCTATTGAATCCTTGCCCAAGTAAAAATAGATAATAACAGACCAAATTCATGAAAGTGTAAATTTTTTTACATCTAAAAGTTCAGAATTTTGCCAATTTCCCAAAGTTCTCAGAATTGAAGTGTTTAAAACAAAAACAAAAAAATATGGAAGCTATCAACTATCTAAAGGATATGATTGAGCCATGTTTCTTAAACCTGTCTTCTAGAATTTCAACTAACTGCTTAATGTTTAATCTCATGGACAATCAAAATGTATAATCAGAAACAGAGTAATGATATTTGTCAAAATTTGGTCCTGTCTCAACGTCACCCAAAACAGAGGTACATTAACACATAGTCAAACATATCTGCTTCCAAAGAGTTAAATACCTTGTTGTGTTCCATGTGAACCAGCTGCTTTGGCGTCGTCATATTTTTCAGTCAAAGCCTTAGCCAATAACTTATTCGCATACACTTTGTTGTAATAGGTCTCAAGATCCTTTTTCTCTTGCACTAATGCTGTCTCAGAATCCCGAAGCAACATGTCATACCTCTTACGTACCGCATCTATCTCTTTTTCACACGCAGCTTTGAGCCACAATTTCTACAAGCAAAGTAGAATATTATTCAACAAAATGTGAAATGAGTGAGGTCTAATTAACACCCAATTGAAGATTGACAATAAAATATTAGGGGAAAAAAGGGGACGGGGGAATGAAAAAGAAAGTTATGCTAGACAAACTGTGTCTTCGTGCAACTTGATAGCTTGCTCCTTATCCTTCTGTATTCTTTCCATTTCCTTTAGGAGCGAGTCTGAGCAATCAGACCGAGGCACCTCAGGAAGCACAGGGGAAGATTGTACCAGGTGATTGTTTCCAGCTTGAACTGCAGTCATGTATTGACTTGAGTTACCCGTTGAACCCTCTCTTGCTGGATGTATTGAAACTTGTGCCTGTTGATCACAGGCACGACTAATTATTAAATTGTCAATTTAAACTCCTAAAATCACGTATTTTTAATCTCTCTTATAATCAAGTAGTCTTTACTCTTTTTTTCTTTATTTTCCTTTTTGCTGTGAAAGAGTTGGACATTCAAAGTAATTTTACAAGCAGTTGCAACAACTGAAAAAGACGGATACGTAATAAGAAGACACATTGGTAAGTGAAAGAAAAAGAAACACGAATCACCATGGACAACACAAAAGATGTGTAGGCTTTTGATTGGACTTCAAAAGACCTTTTCACATTACAATTTCAGTGTATTATCCAACCTATCAGACTTTTGATTGGCATACTCATGTATTTTTCCTATGGTATAAAGATAATAAAAGATTATCAAAATTAATCATCAAAATTAAACAATCAAGAAAAAAGAGCTACATACCTGATGTGGGTGTTCTTCACTACCTTGGTCTGGGAAAATCTGCGGTTGCATTGTAGGTAAGCTAGTTCCAATCAACTCCGAAGTGGGTGCCTCTCTGGTGATGGGAATAACTGCTCTAACACGCTGCCCGGCCTCTATGACAGTTTCTTCTAAGGCGGAGGCATTTGTTCCATCACTTCCTCTTGAGATACCATGAGCCGCTGGAGGCACAGTTAAAGAATCACTTATGCAAATGGAGTTATCGATTTTATCAGTCAGACGTGGCAAGCATTTATATTTCTTTCTGGCAGATCGTCCTCCTGCTGGAAGAAAAAGGTAATTAAGCAAAGAAGTTGTAAAGGATTTAAAGAAATAATAATGAAGATGTGCGAACACACAAAATAGGGTGGGGTGAATTACACTTTTTATCCTTATAATTTGAGCTAAGTTTCACTTTGTTCCCTATTGTTTCAATTTCAACAATTTGATCCCTACACTTTAGTCCAATTTCAATTTGTTCCTTCTGTCCAAATTCCAATGTACACCTCGGGGAGATTGACATGTGTTACAAAATCATTCATTTTAACATCCAATTTGAACAGAAGAACCAAATTGAAATTGAACTTAAAGTGTAAGAATGACATTGTTCAAATTGAAACAATAGTGACCAAAATGAAATTTGGTTCAAATTGTAAGGGTGAAAAGTGTAATTTATCCCCCAAAAATAATAATAATAAATTTGGAAGTGCCAGCTAGGTTGCAGTCCTTGCCCCCATCATGTAGTTTCCTTTCCTTCTTCATTCTTGGTTTTGATGGCATAAGATCAACAGTGTCATTGACCACCGCCCTGTGTTTCCTTCAAGTAGTATCTTCTATAAACTCAGTTTCTTGTACTGGCAAGTAATTGACGTGTTGAATTCTTCTTCGAATCCTCGGTGACGAACCAGACAAAAATTTCCACCTAGGATGCCTTCCTTCAAGTAAATTTGTCCAAAAAACATGCGGTGATTCATTATGCAGCAATTGATGTATCACAGAAAAAATTTCCACCGATTGAGCTTCCACTTCTCCAGGTAATGAAAAATTTCCGCGATAAGTTCCTTCAGTCTGCTGTACTTCCAAAACGATTGAGTTATTAGGAATCCTGCTGTCACCATGGTCGGACAACAATGCTGACAACTCAGATACCACATCATTTATAAAAGTTTGTTCAGAAGTAATGTTTGATTGTGAAACCGATGTGTTACAACCATGGAAGTCACGAAGCTTGTTTAGTAGATGGGGAGCACCCCAAGTTAGCAGTGAATGACAAGTACTCCGACTTAAATTCTGTATATTGCTATCAAGAGAGACACCATGTTTTGCTATCAAGAGAGACACCATGTTTGGCAAGAATTAGTACTTTCTCTTCCAGGGTATAGGATGAATACAAACGGAATACTTTCAACTGCTCAAACTGTGACTCGATAGTGATCTTTCGTAGGGCTCTTAAATCATTCCGTGGATCACAATCACTGTTGAATATTATAACGGTGTCCACAGACAACAGTTTAATGCTGAGAAGACAGGCACGACTTTCAATTAAAAACACAAATTTATTGCTTCCTTTACCGTTGAACAAGTCCAGGGCAGCTCGCTTCTTCGAAGGAATAATTTCTCCACCATCAATGTGTGCATAAGAATCTTTGCCAAACCTTTGATGGACAAAGTCGTCCAAAATGTCTCCAATAGAAATCAGCCCAGAACTACCAATTGACTGTCAATGTTGCAAGAAGTTGTACCTCATCAATTTTTTAACCCTCAAAGCAATTAAAATTAAAAAATAAAAGACTATAGAATTTAACCAGAACAGTATCACATTAGTTTTCATCTATACAAAATTACACCACTACAGTAAGGTTCACTGCAAAAACAGAGGGGCAAAAACAATCAATATGAAGTATGGGTCTCATGGAAATATATACCATGCGGAAGGTAAAGTAAGGCCCACTTTGGTTGACTGTTATTCAACTAAACTTTTGAAATTTAAGTGATCTCAAGCTTCAACCATATCATCAATAACTTCTTTACACCTTTCAACCCCTCTCTCTGTGTCTCCTCCCTTTTAACTTCTTTGTGCTGCCTAGACGGTTCGGTTGCCTGAGCTTTTTCAGACTTTTAGAAGCACCTAAACTAGGAAAATTTTCTATTTAAACCAAATTGTTTAGAGAACTCCGCCGGGGTTGCTTAAGCCCAGATAAAGGAAGAGTATTGTGTGTTAGGTAGCCGACAGCCAACACGTAAAAAAGCCGTTCAGATCTTTTATGACATGAAGCCTAATACTCTGAATCGATTAAATATTAGGTCGTTCCCCTTAAGTGACGCATTGCATCTGCCTCTGGATGTTTTGAAAAGTGAGCAAAAGGCGCCACATCGACGCCTAGGTGCGGTGAAAAATGGACAAAGGTTTTCGAGTTTTTCTGGATAAACGTGGATAAAGAAGTTAGTCCAAGATTATAAGTTTAGGGTAGCCACTTGGAATATAAAAACTTTAACTGGCAAAACTATGGAATTGATAGATGTCATGATTAGGAGGAGAGTTAATATAGCTTGTGTACAAGAAACTAAGTGAACGGGTGAGAAAGTTAGGGAAATAGAGGATACCGGCTTTAAGTTATATTATAGTAGTAAGGATAAACACAAGAATGGAGTAGGAATAATAGTTGCCAAGAGTCTTGTAGAAAACGTAGTTGCGGTCATTGGGAGAGGTGATAGGATTATGTTAGTTAAACTAGTTATTGGAGAGTATATAATATACGCTATTAGTGCATACGGCCCCCAAGTAGGATTAGATGATCAGACTAAGAGAATTTTTTTAGACCAAATGGATGAGGTATTACAAGAGATACCCGTAAGAGAAAACCTAGTTATAGGTGGTGATTTCAATGGCCATGTAGGAGTAAATAAACTAGGGCATGAGAGGGTGCATGGTGGGAATGGTTTCGATGATAGAAATGAGGCTAGAGAGAGTACTTTAGATTTTACGTTGGCTTCTGACCTAGGGTTGGCCAATACTATGTATAAGAAGAGAGAGGAGCATTTTATAACCTTCAAGAGTGGGCCAATTAAGAGCCAAATAGATTACTTTCTAGTAAGAAAAGGGGACCGTCTAAAATGCAGTGACTGTAAGGTGATTCCCGGAGAGAGCTTGACGTTTCAACATAGGATTTTGGTACTACATTTATGCTTTAAAGGGCAACACAAAACTCGGAAAGATAGTGGACGTTGCAAGACTAGATGGTGGGACCTAAAAGGGGATAAACTAAACACATTTAAGAATAGAATGGATAAAGAAGGTACTTAGGACTTGAAAGAGGATGCTAACACTATGTGGAACTCAATGGCCAATTGTATGAGGAGAATCTCAAGGGACCCAACTTTAGAGAAACTTGGTGGTGGAGGGAGGAGGTCTAAACAGTAATAAAGACGAAAAAAAAGAACTTTAAAAAGTGACAAAATGATAGAACTGAGAAAAATCTTAAGCGCTACAGAATAGCTAATAAGGAGGTCAAAAAAGTAGTGAGGAAGATTAAGTTGAAAGCCTATGATGACCTATACACTAAACTAGATAGTAAGTAGGGAGAGAAGAGGATATACAAGCTTGCTAAAATAAGAGAGGAAAATAAGAAATTTTAATCATGTTAAATGCATCAAGGGTGAGGACTTTAAGGTGTTAATGGAAGAATGAAGAGATTAATGGAGGTGGAAGAACTATTTTGAGAAGTAGTTAAATACTGTGTTACATGGACTCGGCACTTTGGGGCGAAGTACTCGACACGACACGGGTGCGGGTGTAGGATCTGTGTCGGATTCGCCTCTTCTCTCTCGGACACGGCTCTTTACAGACAACAAAAGAAATGAATGAAGAGAAAGGAAGAGAGAACCTGGTCGCTATTGGCTTCGATCATCGATCACGATTAGGGCTCTCACTATTGATCACGATCGTCATCGTCTTCGTCTCGGAGGGCTTCGATCATCTTCGTCACTCTCTTCTCTCACTGCCGATCTCGATCTCGATCTTTATCGTCTTCGTCTCTCTTTTCGTCTCTGTGCTTCTCTCTTTTCGTCTCGTCTCTACTTCCCTCTCTCATCATCTCTCAATCTATTCGTTTGTTCCCTCTCTCTTCGTATCTGTTGCTGATCATATATATTGATCATATATAACATATATAATATAATTTATATAATTTATAAATTATAATTTTTATCATATATAATAAAATATCTAGTTATTATTTCTTAAAATATAGTATAAATTACATTACATGAATATCTAATTATTATTTCTTAAAATATAGTATAATATTTAATTTTTGTAAATTATTATTCATATTATATTTACATTAACATATGGTATAAATTGCATTAATATAATAATATATAATATTATTCATCCAAAAAAAATTATATAATATAATATATCATAAATAATATAATTTTAATGTCTAAAATAAAAATAACTTATTTTGTCATATATAAGAAATAACCAGTAATAAGATAAACCAAGACTATAGGTTCTATCGCAGGATTAGGAACTTTGAAGTGGAGATTGCACTTAAGAAGATGAAATCAAATAAGGCTTTAGGACCTGATGATATTCCTATTGAAGCTTGGAAGTGTTTGGGTAAAAAGGGAGTTGCTTGGTTGACTAGGTTGTTTAGCAAAATTTTGGTGACTAGGAACATGCCAGATGAGTGGAGAAAGAGTATTTTAGTGCCAATCTATAAGAATAAAGGTGATGTCCAGAATTGTAACAACTATAGAGGAATCAAGCTAATGTGTCATGTAATGAAAGTGTGGGAAAGGGTGATGGAACGCTGATTACGAGACATAACAGAGGTGTCAGAGAATCAATTTGGGTTTATGCCTGGTAGGTCAACAATGGAAGCGATCTATCTTTTGAGGAGAGTAATAGAAAAGTATAAAGAAAAGAAAAGAGACATTCATATGGTGTTTATCGACCTTGAGAAAGCATATGACAGAGTGCCCCGAGATATAATATGGTGGGTGTTAGAGAAGAAAGGGGTGACAAAAGGCTACATTGACGTGATTAGGGACATGTATGAAGGGGTGGTGACCACTATTAGATCGCCAGCTGGAGAGACAAATGAATTTCCTATTACTGTAGGGTTACACCAAGGATCTACCTTAAGTCCTTATCTTTTTGCTTTAGTTATGGACGAGTTGACGATAAATATTCAGGATGATGTGCCATGGTGTATGCTTTTTGCAGACGATATTGTGTTAGTGGATGAGACTAGAAAAGGAGTTAACACAAAGTTAGAGATTTGGAGAAAAACTCTTGAATCTAAAGGATTTCGGATAAGCAGAACTAAGACAGAGTACATGGAGTGTAAATTTAGTAACAGCAACAATGAAAGCAAAGGAGAAGTGAAGACTGAGAACCAAGAACTGCCTAAGAGTGAACATTTTCGTTATTTAGGGTCGATTATCACAACAGCGGGAGAGATTGATGCAGATGTGGCCCATAGGATTAAGGCGGGATGGTGTAAGTGGAGAAGTGCGTCTGGGATATTGTGCGATAAACGAATACCCACTAGACTAAAAGGTAAGTTTTATAGAACGGCTATTAGACCAGCTATGTTGTATGGGACGGAGTGTTGGGCAACCAAGAAACAACATGTAGATAAGATGTAGATAAGATGAGTGTGGCTAAGATGAGGATGCTAAGGTGGATGTGTGGTAACACTAGACAAGACAGAATTAGGAATGAGTGTATTCGGGAATGGGTAGGAGTAGCACCGATAGAAGATAAGTTGAGAGAGAATCGTTTGAGATGGTTTGGTCATATTCAACGGAGACCAACAGAGGCAGTAGTGAAGAAATGCGATGCTGTAACAGTAGATGGAAGTGTTAGGGGACGGGGTAGGCCTAGATTAACGTTGACTAGCGTTATAAATAGAGATATGAATCTACTTAATTTGACTAATGAAATGGCCTTTGATAGGGCCGCGTGGAGAAGAAGGATTCATGTAGCCGACCCCATTTGATGGGACTTAAGGCTTGGTTTGGTTTGGTATTTATATAATATAACTCATCTTCATATAATAAATATATATATTTTTTAAAAATCTATTTAATGTAGCCCCATACCCGTATCTAAATTTGGATACATATCCACGTATCCTTAATTTTTAATTTTGAAGTGTCTGACCTCTAGATACGCACCAGCACCCGCACCCGATATCCGTACCCGAGTCCATGTAACTTAGGTTAAATGAGGAATATGGAGGTGTATCAAAAGGGGAGGAAGTAGGCGGTAATAAGGAAAACCAGGACTATAGGTTCTATCGTAGGATTAGGGACTTTGAAGTGAAGTTTGCACTTAAGAAAATGAAATTGAATAAGGCTTTAGGATCCAATGATATACCTATTGAAGCATGGAAATGTTTAAGTAACAAAGGGGTTATTTGGTTGACTAGATTATTTAGCAAGATTTTGTTGACTAGGAAAATGCCATAATAGAGGAATAGTATTTAGTGCCAATATATAAGAATAAAGAAAATGTCCAGAATTGTAATAACTATAGAGGAATCTGTAAGTTTCTGAAGAATTTTTGTATATTCAATTGTCTATTAAATATAAGAATACATTGGTTTATATATCACTCCAACCCTAGAACTGAAAAAGGAAACAAAAGCCCTAATATATACATAATATAAATTACTATATATACATGAAACGTAATATTCTCAC